ATATAAAATATTAATTAAAATAAATATGAAATATATTTTATATATTTTTAAATATTAAAAAATTAAAAAACTTACTATTACAATTATAGACTATTATTATAAAACTAAACTTTAGTATTAGACATTCTCATCTAGCTTTGAAAGGCTTTATTAATATATTTCCTTTAAAAGAAATAAAAGAAATGATTAAGTTTTTTAATTAACTAAATTATAATATTTTTAAATATTATATTTTAATTAATTAAAAAATCTATTATCTCCCCTTTTCATTCTCTCAAAACAAGTATATTTAACAAGAAGTTAGTGTAAGACAAATATTTTTTGATAATATTTGATGTTTAATAAATTCTAGTAATCTCTCAATTATGTTACACTCTTATAAATGGATTTTTTTTTTATGAGAAACCATTGTTATATTTCTTTACTTGTTCATAAAATGAAAAATAAAATTAAATGTTTATATACTACTAAATTTAGTTTAAATATTCCAATTTTTATCAATTTAGAATTTTTATTTGGTGAAAGCAAATATATTGAATAATTCATGTGTAATTTTGAAATAATAAAAAAAAAACTAATAAATGCATCTAGCTTATAACTCTTTTTTTATGTAAATTTAATAAAGTTGGTTTTTTTTTTTTTTAGTTTAGAGATGGTGGATTTTCTTTTTTTTCTTTTTTTGAACATAGGGAATTATGGGGAAAGGGAAATGAATTCAAATAGTAATACTTGAAGAGGAATCATTAGATTCAAGGTGCCAGTTCTAAAAAGGGTGGAGTCGAGTCTTTTTTCTCCTAAAAAAAATGTAGTGCAGCGCCTGTAAACCTTTTTTTTTTTCTCTAAAACCATGAAATAGGCCTATTTATTTATTTATTTCTTTATTTCTTTCTTTCTTTATTTTTTCTACACAAGTTGCTTCCTTGCCACTCCCCTCATAGAAACCTTCACTCCCGTCCTTCAAATCAAAATTTAAATCATAGGCCCAACTTACAAAATTACACTTACTTATCACTCAAAATGTATTCATGGCTTAGAAAGATGATCACATCTAACAGTTCTAAGCATGCATAGTTTCAACAAAATAAAAATAGATCTTCT